ACATTAATAGCTTCAATCTGATTATTACTATTTATTTACTATAAAATTATTATTACTATCTGATATCATTACTAAATTATTTAATAATCATTAATAAAGCCATTAGTTACAGCTTATAAACCTGCCTTATTAAAAAATGGCACTGAAATCTGTTGAAGGTTGGAAGCTCTTGAAAGAATCGTTTTTTATATTGAAGGACTTAAAGCAAAGTTAACTTTGAAGTTATCTTTGATGATTAAGATTGCTGAAACTTTGTCTCTATGTCATCATAGCTAAATATCTAGATTTGATAAATTTGATAGCTATAAAAACATTTTTTTTTTCAGTTTGGCTAAAATGCTTCGTAAAGCTGAAGAGAACTGCAGAATTTGGTGATAACTGTCTGTGGCTTCATCACAGGAAGTGAACCCTTTACACAATACAATACTGCCATTTTATCCATTTCAACCAGGATAATATTGATTTGTGCAGCTTTAAAGTTGTGATCTTTACGATCTCAGACCTGGTTGATTTGGTGAGACCTGTTGTTACCATGGTAACAGGGAATGCAGTTTAATAATACAACAAACACTCAATGAGCAGCAACTTTGTCAGAAATATATCGTATATGCATTGTTCTTCTGTGAATCCCTCTTTCTGAGGTAGGCAATCTAAATGGCGGACTCCGCCACTACTACTACTAAAACGACTGTAGAGAGATACTTGTAAATAATGTAAATACATTGGTATGGGGTCTGTTTTTATGAAAAAAGGATTATGATTTTAACAGTTATCATGAATTAAAGTTTAATGTTTGGCGTCAGACTTTATGTCTGTAGAGAACTTTTCATTTCCCTACAGTCAAATTGAGCAGACTTCTCCATAGCAGACTGCCAGGCTCTGTGTGGTGCTTTCTGTAGCTGTTATTATATCAGTGTTTCATTGGTGCTGTCTTTTTTGCTGAAAACATGCCGTTGCAAAATCAAGTGTCAGTAGCTGTATGCTGTGCAATAACCTTCCTTTTATGCACTGTCAAAACTGCAGCACACAGTTTAGCTCCACCAAATCACATTTGAAACTAAATAACAGGTGCCACCAATGCTGCTGGCATGCAAGTAAAACAAAAATATCTTCAAAGACGAGCTACAATCTGATGAGGTTTTTTAACTTATATTTTGGCTGGTTTTCACTGCAGTGTAGTAGTAGATTCTGGGTTTCCTTGGTGGCCAATAACAATAATAACCTTCTTTAGGATTGTTGCCGCCTTTTCACACCAGGTAAACTGATGAAAACTCCTGATGAAGGATTACCATTGGCAAACTGCAGGAGCAAAGTGAGCTGCATTATATTCAATTCCAGCTCTTGCTCCTCATAAGGACAGCATGGAAAATTGCCAGTGCATTAGGGTTGAGGTAGAAATGGGAGAGGAGCTTCTGGTTGCATACAGATCAGCAGTGCTGTCAACTCTGTCTCTCCAAAAATGTTTTAGCTGGTCTAAACGTTGCTGTTATTAGATTAGATAACATTATGCTAATTTGCCTGTACTGCATATACATGACATATGCTAATTTGCATTTATGTCTCACTCATCCAGTCCAATCAGCCTAATCAAGAGTAGCTTTAGTCAAATGGGCACCGGAAAATGCACACTTATGCCTCCCCACTAGCTCATTCTGAATGATCAGTGTCCGGCATTTCCAACTGTCGTCACAGAGTAAACCAGGAACTGATCAGTTCAAGCATTGCTAAACACTGAACATGAGGGAAAGTGATCATCAGTGATTCATACAAAGGGCCAAAAGCAGCCATCAGTGGCAGCCGCACGAAAGACCGGAACTAAATGGAGGAGAAATTAGTCTCGCTAAATGAGACAATAATGAATTTCAGTCACATTTTTCACACTGCATTGAGCACATTGGTACATAGTACCAATTTAAACAATATCCCTGAATCTATTCTCTGCACTCTCTAACCTTTGGGAACTGGACCATGTCCCTGGATGAAATACACAGGTAACCAATCAATTGCAGGGTCAATACATTCTGTCATTCAAGACAACTGTATTTGCACATACTTCATGAGCTAGTCAGAGCTTTCAAATTCACTTGGACCACGGTTCACCTAAGGAGAGCCACTTATTCACAGCTGAACCAGCTATTTGTTGTTTATTATTGTTGATTGTTAGCTGGTTTCAAAATAGTGATTTTCTAAACTGGGCAGCGTGAATAATGTTTTGGCGAGGAAAGAATTAATGTGTAACTTGGTTGCTAGGAAACATCTGTAGCGCTGTCTAACCAACAGCAAAAACAGAAACATCAAGGCTAAGAGTCTACAGACTGTTAGTTGGAACAGTTGGACTGGTTTAATAATGAGGTTAACTGGTAACATTTTCAATTAAATACCATAAAATTACACAATATAGGTCCTACTTCAAATTACGAAATGTTATTGGCATAACATAGCTACAATAGGCAAATTATTGTTGGTGAGTGCATTCAGCTCTCAGGATGGCCATGTTGGCTTGTCAGATGGGTGGTGGACCACTTTGGTCCGGACTAGCGGTGAAACGGTTAACAAAATTCATGACTTGGTTCATATCACGGTTTTTGGGTCTGTTTGGTACATTTTTTATTTGTCAAAAAAAAGTTGCCTTAGGAAACTTCTGACCCAAACCCATGACTAGTGAACCAAACAGTTTGGATTTTTTACTTGAACTTAAACTGTTCCATCCCGAGCCCTGATTAAAGTATCTCAACTACTGCTGAATGGATTGTGATGGATTGAGATTTTGCATTTACATTCACAGTCCCCAGAGGATAATCCTTGACTTTTCTCCAGCTCCAACAGCAGGTTGACATGTTAGATTTTTAGTAAAATATTTAACTAACAATTGAATGAATTGCTATGAAATTTGGTACATTCATGGTGTGCAGAGGATGAATCCTAATGACTTTGGTGATCTGCTGACTTTTCCTATAGTGCCACCAGCAGGTGAGAGTTTTGACTTATTCTGTGAAATATCTCCTCATACAGGACTGATTGGCACAAGAGAAGAAACATTCATTCACTTGCTCTATTAGCCAAAAATGATTTCTTGTCTAGCAACTAATGGGAACTCTTCAGCTTGCCCAGGAGGTGGTGAATGAAAATTAAGTGCCTGAACAGCAGTGAGAGATGGCTGCGAATGATGGGTCACAGTGGGTGAATCTCTTCCTCACTTCCACCACCATCATCCTCGACATTTTCAGAAATTCAGAAATACCTTTTCCAACCACAGCCACAATAAGCCTGATGCTGTCAGTGTGAATTTAATGCTTCTCTACTGGGTTTTTAATAAAGATCTATGTGTGCATGAACTAGTAATGAGCAGATTTGGGTTGTATGGTGTGTGGCCTGTTTCCTTCTTAATCTGTCTTTCATCCTCACTTCCACTAGTTCTAAATGGTTAACTTAATTTGGAAAAGGTCACATTCAAGGCTTTCTCACTGAAAAAGATATATACAGAGGGATGACAGGCCATTCTCGTGACACAGATGCAGACGTGATGGACAGGATGGATACAGCTTTATGTATAGTCACACACACACACACACACACACACATACACACACGGACTAAAGACAAGAGATACACTTGCAAACATACTGTACATAAAACAATATACACAGACACATGCACACACACTCACATCATACTGTACAAATGTGCATAGAGACATACACAACCCACACTACAGAAGCATACACACAACCATACCAACACAGATGCATACACAGAAACAACAGACACACGCAAACATACACACACACACACACACACACACAGCAGCAGAGGGCTTTTTTATGCATCTAATACCCATTCATTGTTAAGGAGTTGTGTCATTGATGAGTACGGTTCCGAAACAAATGAACATTCATTGAAAAGAAGAAAAGCCTTTGATATAAAAACATAAATCAACCAACCCCCATATTTTGTATGTTTTACCAGGACTTGATCCAGAAGGCTAAGAGCCATTAATGTGGCTGTGTTGGTGGGTTGTTCCTCTTACTGAGCTACAAAGAGCTTCCTTCGACATAAAATAAGAAGCTCCTCACACAATCAGCACAACAAAAGTCAATGTGGGCTAAATTGTGGATGACTTTTCATTGTGGACGCGAAATACATTCAATTTACATCTCTTTTCAAAAGTCATGAACTGTTTTCTGACTCAAACTCAAACACCACCAAAACCTATTTTGCACATGTTTACACACTATTGTAAAAACAGAAACATAAGGTCGCTCAATCCATGCAACAAAGAAGTGTCATTCTTTTTGTTGTAATGGAATTTCTGCTGCTACTCCCTGTTAGTGTTTTTTTAGGTCATTGTGTATGAATGACAAAGTGTTAATGTGACAAACGTTATCAGTGGAGTTCTGAGGTTAAGTTTTTGGGTTGCATTAGTGCATTTTGGAGTGTCAGTGAAGAGACTGAAGGTTTTTTTGGGGACGTTTTTCCTTATTGGAATCAAGGTTTTAAGGATAGAGGGCGTTGCTGTATGCTGTACAGACTGCAGAAATGTGCAAAAACTGTAAGCCAAGTGTACTTCAGAATAACGGTTTCCTTTTAATTTTTAAGATCACAGTCTGTTCTCTATCACCTATAGTAAATTAAGGATACACGAAAATCCTCTTCCTCTGTCAGTATTTTGTCTAGAATATTGCTATAGGACCTTATGAGCGGGCAAAGGGGAAACCAACAGCGGGGTTTCTGTTAAGTGATGACTTTGGTTTTTATTCGGCACCACTGAAACATTTTCATAATCTTCATGTATATCAATGAGGGGAATATGGGCCATTTTTAAATAATTATGATCAATCAACAATTAATTAACTAATTCCTAAATTCCTTCAGATTGATTGCACGGTGGATGTGACGGATTAAACTACACGATGCAAAGGTTTTGGGATCTTTTTTAACAGGCTACAGGAGTGTCAGTCATTTGTCACGTACTTTTACAGCGGACAGTACCCGCAGCTTACCTGTCCAGAGCGATGGCAGTCATTGAGTAGATGCTGGCAAAGACAGCCGCGATCGGAAAGAAGTTATGGAAGCGGCAGTAGACCAGTCCGAAGTACCACTCGTTGTGCACGGCGTATGTGAAGTTGATCACCGTGTTGAAGGCGGACATGGAGGCTTCAGCGAACGCCAGGTTCAGTAGGAAATAGTTGGTGACCGTCCTCATGCGTTTATGAGCCATGATAATCCAGATCACCGTAAGATTGCCTACCACGGACACAATCACTATACAGCTGTACGCAATGGCCCACAGGACAATTCTCCAGACTGGCTGCACAAACTGGTTCCAGTTCACGGTCCTGTTACTGGTGTCGTTTGTCCAATTTGGCACGTCGGTGGTATTAAATAAAGGATCCATTTTGCTGTGTAAGACCGAAAGTCACACTAAAAATCCCTGTCTGTAAACCCGATTCAGTATATAGCAAGGTTAAAGACCCCGGTGCCAAATGCAAAGTGAACAATCAAAAGTTTCAGAAGAGCTTCTCCGCCTCTCGCTCTGCTGAAAGTGTCTGCAATGTTCACTTAAAGACTCTGCTGTCTTGGAAATATCAAATTCATTAATTCAGTACAAGTATTTTTCGTGGATACGTCGATAACAATCTATTAAAACCTGTTCATCTTTAACACTTTTCGCTCTGCGTAAAAACGAAAACGCGCCTTTTACGCGCCTTGCAGCACTACAACCAGTCTCTAATATCTGAGCTCTCTGCTCCGTCCTCTCTCCCTCCCTCAGCGACTCTGTGCTCTCCTTCTGCTCCTCTGCTCAAACTGAGCGGCTGCACAGCAGCTTATGGAGCGAGCCGCTGCGCACCCGTCCAATAGGCAGTCTCTGTAATTATGATTATGGATGAGCCCAGGTAAGTAATTCATTCCATCCGACTCAGACCACACGGGGAAGCCAACAGGATTATCGTGCCCGAATACCTCTTATATAATTGAATTTGCTCATAATTCCTTTGTAGAAAATAACAACAACACACAAGCAGAAGAATGGATGAATGAATTCAGACAGGCAAATAAATAATAATAAAAATAGGCTAAGAACAATGATAATGTAGAAGTTGTGATAATAATAGCTTTAGTTGTGTAGTGGTAGCAGCAGTGGATGTCATTTATGTTGAATGGATTTAATCTCCAAATACAACTGAATGTGCTGTGTAATGTGATGAGGTGCCACACTGTTTGAATGTCCCTGTCTTCCCACTCACTGCCCCCTCTTGTGGACTCACAGTCTGGACTGTATATTTGGAGAATGGCTACTTCATAGGAGGTTTACACACTGAGGAAAAAGATGAATTGCAGTAATGTGACACACTTCAGAAGGCTTCTTTACACCTTTCACAGGAAAAGTCCTACATTGTTATACTCTCATACCCAGTTACAATAAGTAATAATTCAATGATAACGACAACGAGTAGAAACATGTATGTAAAACACATTTAATAGTACATTACAATGACCTGACTTATATTGACAAAATGTAATGATAAGGAGTTTTAGCCTACATTCTCACTATAACAGAAATTCTTTATCAGAAGGGGAAGGATATTCTTCTCAGGAGACTGCACTGCACTCTTTTATAGTTTACAATATCAAGCTCTATATATTCTATCAGAGCTTTGTTCCAGGCTCCATTTTCCTGTGTGCATTTGCTAAGGGCCTTTCCAGAAGAGCATGGTGAGAGGATGAATGAGGTAATTAAGAGAGCTACTTTCAGGCATGCTATTGGACTCTTGATAGCATTGAAAGACTGTAGAGTGAGAAGTTGAATGAACTTCAACTCACCCCCCTGACACTGTGTCACTGTGGAGGAGAGGAGCTTTTATAGCCACATATTTTGGTGCACTGAATCTGAGAGGTTAGATATTATAGATATTTATATTTGATATATTAATATTTCAACCCACTGTTAGTCAATTAGCCTCTTGAGTGAAATGCCAACTTGATATGTGGTCAAATAAATTACATTTTTAGGTCTATGGATGGAAATCAGTTTGTTGATTGGGTGTATGTCTGCTGGTCCTGGTCCAGGCTAAAATATCTTTAACTATTGGTTGGATTACAATGAAAATGTGTACAGACCTTAATGATCCCCAGAGGATGAATGCTGATCAATCCTCTAGTCCCACCACATCATCAAAGTTTTTATTACCAGTAAAATATCTACTACACCTGCTAGATGTATTGGCACAAAATTTTGTACAGACATTCATGTTTCCAAGAGGATGAATCCTTTTCCATTGGCACTTTTGGCAGCGCTGAGTCAAACCATGCCACCTTGATTGTGTTTCTATTACCAGTTTAAACTCACCATGTTGTGCTGAGTCGCGCTGAGTTATGCCTAAGATGGACCTTCTCCAGAGTTGGCTTAAAGCGCCCCCCACCTGTGTGATGCTACCACGCTAAACTAAGAGGGTTAGCATGTTAAAAATCATGCCTGCTAAACATCAGAGTGTGATTATCTTTGTGAGCATGCTGACTTTAGCATTTAGCTCAAAGCACCACTTTGCTTAAGAACATGTTCACAGGGCTGCTAGCACGACTGTAGACTACACTGTGTTCCAAATTATTATGCAAATATGATTTCAATTATAAAAACATTCGATTTTTTGTTTTTCAATGAAAGTTTTAAATTGTACTGCTTCCCATGCCTGTTTAGATCACTGACATCAATCTCAGACAGGTTTGTCTTTATTAGTCTGCCAGGTGAGCCTAGTTAATGGGAAACTATTTAAGGATGTTGTTCCACATTATTAAGCAAGTCACAGGTTTCATGCAATATAGGGGGAAAAAATATATTCCTGCAGATGAAAAGCGTGAAATAGTGCAGTATCTTTCAATAGGTATGAAACCACTGGATATTTTACGAAATATTAAGAGAGTTCACCGTCCTATGAAAAGATTTGTGTCTGATTCAGAGCGCAGAGAGGTTCGTTCAGATAAAGGCATGTTAAGGAAAGTTTCTGTAAGGCTAATTCATCGTATTAAGTGAGCAGCCGTGAAAAAGCCACCGATGAGTAGTAAAAAAGGTATTTAAAGTTGCTGGTGCCTCTGGAGTCCCAAGATCTTCTCGACGCAGGATACTCCAGAGGCTTGCTTATGTGCATAAAGCTGTATTTCGGCCACCCTTAAACAATGCCCACAAGGAGACATAATTGCAGTGGGCTCAGAAATACATGAAGACTAATTGTCTAACAGTTTTATTCACTGATGTATGCCGTGCTATACTGGATGGTCCAGATAGATGGAGTTCTGGATGGCCACCATGTCCCAACAAGGCTGCGACGTCAGCAAGGAGGTGGTGGAGGGATGTTTTGGGCTGGAATCATAGGAAGTGAATTGGTAGGCCCCTTTTAAAGTGCCTGAAGGTGTCAAAATGACCTCTGCAAAACAACTGCCCATTTCCTGCCATGGTATAAAAAGAAGAACCATGCCTTCCGCAGTAAACTCATTTTCATGTAAGACAACGCATCATCCCATGCTGCAACAAATACCATTGAGGCCTAGGCTGCTATAGGCATTAAGGGAGAAAGAATCAAGGTGTGGCCACCATCATCTCCTGACCTCAACCCTATTGAGAACCTGTGGAGCATCCTTAAAAGGAAGCTCTATCAGGGTGGGTGGCAGTTTACCTCAAAACAGCAGTCCTGGGAGACAACTCTGGCATCCTCAAAGGAAACCCAGGCAGAAACTGTACATGGACTTAGGCGCCCGGTTAGCTCAGTGGGTAGAGCTGGCGACCCATGTATTGAGGCTGAGTCCTTGCTGCAGCGGCCCAGGGTTCGAATGCGACCTGCAGCCCTTTGCTGCGTGTCATCCCCTCTCTCTGCCCCCCTTTCCTGTCTGTCTTCAGCTGTCACTATAATAAAGGCAATAAAAGCCCCAAAAAATATACTTAAAAAAAAAAAAAAAAGAAACTGTACATGGAGTGATTTGATCTAATGCAAAAAATTTCAGAACAGATTTCGGTTTTCAATCCTTTAGAAACTATTTAGTGTTTTGAAACTGTGTTTTGCATAATAATTTGGAACACTGCATTTTGGGTTATTTAGCAAAAAAATGCCATTGTCATCATTGGTAATTGTGTTTAATAAAATCCAGATTACGATATAATTGTTGCGGAATAAAAAATACTATTGACTGCCAATTATATCGACTATTTAGTAAGAAAAAGAACAAAAACAGTATCTGCATAATAATTTGGAACACAGTGTAGTCTTGTTGAAACCTATGACCACATTACATTAGAAATCTTAAGCTATATGGGCTGAATTTGAATTGAATGCATCTTTCTAACATGATACAATGATTCTGCCTGTTTTAAATTCTCCAATGCCTGCAGTTTGCATCAACAAGTTTTTTAGTTTGAACAAAATTCAGATTTTTGTATGGATTATTTTTTTCTGTGAGACGGGCTCCCTGCACGGCTGCAGGCTGTAGTCAATCACTCACTTAGTAAGATGTTCATAAGAGTTATATGTCCATGTGCTTCAGCCCCATACGGTGGTATTGCACCAAGAATTCTTTAGAAATAATTTAAAAATAAAAAAGGTTTCTCTGAACACCCTGTGTGCGTGTGTGTGTGAACAGACTCTATTCGCCACTTAATGCAGAGTCTTCCACACCTGAACAAAATTCTCATGAATAAACTAATGAACAGTTTATATAGATAGAGCCACAACAACTAAGAAATACTAAAGCGGGAGAAGGTCAGTGTATTTTACTCACAGCTGGAAACACTGCGACCATACTATGATCCCACACATAGAATCCAACACATTTGCCTTATTGGAATAATATTGGAAAAAGAACTGACAGAGGCACTGAGGTCGTAATTTACTACATCAAACTCACAGAGTGCAGAAAATCATGCAATTCCCATCTTTCACACTCAAGTATTTTCTTTTCACAGCTCTCATTTTTATTGCACTGCAGGCAATTGCTTTCATGCAGGCTTGTTCTATGTTAATGCCAAGTACCCAGAACATCATGTACCTTCTGTAGGACCTTTTGTGGGTTGCCATCTTGACTATACGGCTCACTTGAAAAACACATGCAGTAGCAATTTTATGTGTGAATATTGTGAATAAATGGAGGATTAAAAATAGGCACATAATCAATCAGTGGTCAACTCTTGATTAGATTGCTATGACATTTCCTATGATTTTTCCCTCTTGTCAAAATTACCCCTTGACTCTAAAAGCTGAATGTCTTTGAAATTATTATCTGTGAATTTGTGCTGACTGCCGAACCTTCTTTAATTATATCATTTGGTCACAATTTTCATCTTACACACAGGATTTACAGTATAACCCCTATTGCAGATAAAATGTTCAATATTATATTCAAGTAAATAAGTAAATATAAATGGCATAATTGTGCACCATGTTGGGGGTTGAGACAGTGCTTTCTCTCTCTGTAGACATCAAGAACTGTCTGGTGGACGTTCCCCTCTGTCCTGTGATTTATTGCAAATGTCTGCTTTTCACATAATGTCAGTACTACCCAGGTCAACAGTTCTTCAATGACCCCAAACCAAAAATGTTATCCCCTTTAAAGATAATTAAATCATAGATGGTGTCCAGTCATGGCAATTCTGTTCTTCAGCACAAGGACATTGCTTTTCTCTTGGGAGAAGCTTCGATCCATTCTGGCCTGGCCTCTCCATCACAACTGCCAGGGATCCATGGTGGAGTCTAAACTGCTTGGAAGAGAAGCCAACAAGCCACAAGATATTTCTGGTTGCATCCCAGTTCCATTGCACAGCTCTAGCTATGAAATTACCAGGTCAGTGACAA